TTTCGGCTGTCTTGGACGCGTTGTACCGAACATTCACTTCGGTCGCTCGACCCACCTTATCGACTGCTCTCCTCGTTTTCTTGACATCCATCGTCCAATTCGTTCCAACCCCGGTGCTGTTGGCAGCCTTCTTCGAACGTGAGGTAACCATTGCGCCCGGTTTCCGTACCGTGTTAGTCACTATCGGTTTCGTAAACTTTTTTGCGTCACGTCCGACGGTCTTCGGCGTCATGCCAGATATCTTCATCGTCTTGTCGACGGTTTTCCGTAATGGCTCGAGAAATGTAAAATCCAAAGCCTTTTCGTCCTCCTCACTTGACTCGCTCGACATGAAACTCGACTCACTTTTTAAACGGGAATATTCTAAAACTGATATGGGATTCCTATTGATAATTTTTTCATTTACTTCATTTATAAAAACATCTTGGCGTTTTCCACTGTTCATATTGATTAAGTATATTATATTTAAATGTAATATTGATAAAAATTCGATAGTCGCTAGTAATACTAACGCACAACCTCACTTGACTAGTGCAAATGATAAATTTTTCTGTTAACGAAATAAATTTGTTAAGATTAAAATAAAATTTGATTTCCAACGGTTATTTTAAAATTTTAAAACGACTAATTTAATATCACAGCGTGACATTACAAAGCGTCTAAATAATGGCAAAATCTATTGTTATAGTTTCGACAACATTGTTTATAATATTTATTAACACTACTAATGATATTGGCCTGTATATATAAATAAAAACAGCAATAGAATTTCGAATTAAAATAATTACAATTTTGTGTTATAATTAATATAATTCAATATTGATATAATGTATAAAAAGTATGAAATGGACTACTAAAATATATTGAGTATTTGGTTTTCGTTACTTGATAAAAAGTTAATTATCAATTTTAATTACATAAGTTTAAAAATACATTGATGGAATGAAAAAAATAGGCATAATTTAAAATCGATACATGTTCCTTGTTACAGTCAGATAGTAAAAATAAAAATATGTATACAATTAGTACTGTTAACATTTTTCTTTACATTTTGATGAGGGTTTTCGATTGAAACCATTATTATTCGAAAATGATAAACATGGCAAAGGTTAAATAGTAAAATTAATATAAATGATACGCCTGTAATTAATAAATACAGATAAAAAATAAATTACATAATTATATAATACAGTATTTTAGCTTGTTTACAAACGCAAAGAAAAACAAATTAATCGTGTAAAATTGTCAGTATTTGTTTTAGTTTATTGATGTATATTTTTACTATGATTTGGAAATACAAGTAATTAAACCTTTATATTTTTAATTTTAATATTAAGAATAACGTGAAGAATAAATGAATAGTAAAACAATTAATTAAGTTGATTAATATATTATAAACATTTAGTTCATTTGTTAGTTATTTTTAATAGTAAAATAAAATTATATAGATTATTTTATTACAACATTGATTTAAAACACATTATTAATTTATTTATTCTTATGGCTAATTACATAATATATGGTATCATTAAACATCAAATTTAATTTATTACATAAATGATAGTCGTATAATCGTATGGAATTAATTTCCTATAATTTTTCAGATTATACAAAGTATGTAAAAAGATGGTTTTCTGTGTTAATGCCAAAAATAGTTCCATTTTTGTACGGAAATGAAGGCAACATTATCATGGTTCAGGTGAGTTATATAAAATAAATTAGTACCTATTTGTGTTGTTTTGACAGATAATTTATTTCGGGATAGAATGAAAATAATAATGAGGTACGTTAAAAGTAGTAAACGTGGACCGATCTCGTGTGAATCGGTGTCAAGTGCCGTAGACTGTGTTATGAACGGAATCTGTAAAATAGTTAAACATTCGTTGGAAAGTGTTTGAATACTTTGAACAATTTTTATAATACTATTTGAATAATTATTACAAAAGAAAGTAACTACAGGGCGTTTAGATATACTTTGTATTAAGTTACTAACGTGTATGTTAAACTGTACAGTTGACATAACTAACTAAAAGTGAGGATAAGTAAGATATTTGTTACATTGCGACACCGGTTAATAATAATTAAATAATAAACAATAAAAATAATAATGAACTATCAAGTTTTACAGACGTTATGGTATTGTCACAGATAAAATGAACACACATAAAAATTTTATTGTAACCCATTGTGGAATGTAAAAATAATGAACTACTAAACTTATTTGAAAAATATATTTTTAACAAAATTGATGTTGTTGTATTTTTATGTCAATCTATATATCAATTGAACAAGATTCAATGTGTACAATTTGTTATGTTAGATAGAAAATGAGTATGGACACAATGGTTTCGATGTTTGTGATAAAGAATATACTCTATGGCTCAGGGATTTGCTTCGTAACTATGTTGGGGATAAAGCACAACTTTATACCACTGATGAATGCAATATTTTTTTTACATGAAATGTGGCCACATTCCAAATGTATACTCTACGGTGGATTTCTCCCCAACAGTTAATAGTAAGTTAAAATTCGACCATACGGTAACTTCAATTGCAGTATTTGATAAATTATAGCTTTACACAGTTTAACTGAAAAATGTAAATATTTGATATAAGTTCCAAGAATCACTAGGGGTTAGGATAAAATCTATGATCGAGTAATATAAAAGAACGAGTCGTAGGTATATGATATAGGTAAATATCATTAATATGAATTTCAAATCGATAAATCATTACTTCCGAAAAACAATTCTGAGCGAAGGAGGAGGTTGGACGGATAAGCCTTGCTATACTATCTAATTACAGTTTACATGATTTCATTCATATAAATGCCTAATAATATCTCAATAATTTTGATTAAACATAATTTCACAAAAAAAAGTATTTATGAAACCTTTGGACAGTGAATTAAATTCAGTGGCGGCTCGTGAGGTTCACATAAGGTGGTGCACAAATAATTTGTAAGATATGTAGGTAGGTAAAAAAAAAATTATATTAGCGATTAACAATGTAGGTATAAAAATAGATAAAACACTATTTGCGGAAAAACGCGTTCGGCGTCAGGCGGATCGTAACACTATTAAATAATAGTGTTGATAAATTCTATTTATAATCGATGGTAACACGTTTGTTGGCAAGAATATTATTACATAAGAGTATTTTTCGATAACGCAAAACGTGATCGGTATTTTCCATACACTTCTTATAATATTAAAACTATTATTAATTTCGGCAAATGTTTTTAGACGTGTGTGTACTACTGATGAATGTCAATTAAATCATTTGATGACCTGTTAGATATCAAACACTATATAAAGGTCAAGTTGCTGGTAGCTGTACACCCGCGGCCCGCTTACAAAGCCGCTAGCACGCGACTCTTCTACAATTGTTTTTAATTTTTTATGAACTTTTTTTACTGACAAAAGTGGTACTAAAACCTTCACCAGAGTGTCGGGTTTCAGCCAAATTGGTTCAGTAGTTTTCTCGGTTAGCGCGGTAGAAGAAAAAACCCTTACAATTTTATATATAGTATATAGATAGATAGATGGATAGATAGATAGATAGATAGATAGATAGATAGATTAATTTTTTTTAATTTCGATTTTGGTTTCAAATATTGATATTTATTTCTTGCAATTTCGTTATTAATTTTGAATATAGTTATTCATTTTTTTCAATGTTGGTTGCAGAAATCGGTATTTATTTTTTTT